ATTAATAACAATATTTAACGGTTTAAATTTCAAAAAAAAATAAAATATACATAAAATATATAAAAAATAATAATACTACTTAAATTTTACTTACCATTGCTTGATCCACTAGACTGCAAGAAGAAAAATGTCTTAAAGTGCTTCAAAGGGAAGAATGGAGGAAAGGGAGCAAGAACAACTCGCGGGACAAGAGGAAAATGAAAATGAAAGGAGAAAGACCAAAATGAAAGCAGAAGGGCAGGTCGGCAGGGCAATAGGGAAACTTATCGACGAAACCCACATTGCTACAGTCTAAAGCTGATCATCTCTGCGTTGCATTAGGATTCTCATTGATCGGGCCAATCACCGACGAACATTAAGTTAGAAATGCAAGTATTACCGACCTATATCTTATCGGTAAGCAAAATAAAAGCTGCAACACCAGTGGCCACCAGTCGGATTCGCGGGGAGTTGCTGAATGGCAAATTACCGACAAGCATTATGTCGGACAATTTCCTCAAAAAGCTGCACCCCCTGATGTAGGCAGCCAGCTAGTTGGCGAGGGTGCATTGGGAGTGGAAATTACCGAGAAGATGAACGTTGGAAACTGATACTCAATTACCGACGAGACTGTCGTTTCAAAGTTAAATTTACAGGCGTGCTTCTCGTCGATGATGTGCCTTTCCGTCCTTCCCCCACCGGCCGGAGTGGTTGCTGCAATTACCGACAAGTAACACGTATGTATGAGTGGAAATTACCGACAAGTGTTACGTCTGTACAATAAATAATATATCTTACTGGCATTTCTACTGTTTCTCAAGTTGCAGACTTAATTCTTGTCGGTAAAATGATCCTTCACCGAGAAAACTGCTGACCTCGGTGATATGTGGTCGGTGAAGCTAGGTTTTCTTGTACTAGGAAAAATAATATCACACTTGAAACTTCCTGATACCATCTCCAAAATTGTAGGATCAACGCAAGCCGGCTGCCCAAAGGATGGAAACGAGATGGTGTCCTCCAAGTGAGGAGCATGTGAAGATAAACATCGATGGGGCGGTTTCAACTCATCAGCGAGCTTACGGCCGGCGTGGGGGCCGTTGTAAGGAACAACTCAGGGAGGCGTCCATGGCATGCAAAGGTCAGGGGCAGTAGTGTGCGCGGAGATTGCTGAGGCATGCTGCGTGTGCAGAGCTTTGCAGTGGGCTTGTGAACTCTCTTTTGATAAGGTGGTAATAGAATCTGATTGTGCAAGCTTAGTGACATTTTTAAACTCCTGCGTCTCTGCTATAAACTCTGGCTTGGGAACTGTCCTATCAGATTGCAAATTACTTGTGGCCTCTTTTATTGACTGTCGTATCCAACATATCAATCGGGAGGGTAACTCAGTGGCTCATGAACCAGCGAGACCGGCTCTGCATGTTGTGGATGATGATCGAGTACTGGATAGCAAAGCAGCCAACTTTTATTGCACATATTGTAACAAGTGAAATGCCTTAATTTGGATGTATTTGATTCCTTGTTTTATATGAAATGAAATATGCGCCTGCACAATTCATATAAAAAAAAAAAAAACACAAGCCGGCTGCCCCTTCACAACGATTAAACCACCACTGCTGGACCACTGCTCAACCATCTCCACCAATCATCGGCTTACATGTGCTCTTCTCTGCCGTCAACCCTGCAAGCCCGATATGACCAAAAGAGTCCCTTCCAACCAGACCACTGAAGCAGAGACTTTATTGTCCGCCATCGCTGCCCAAACAAAAATTCTTATAGTGCAAACAAAGATCTAGGCGCAGAATAATCACCCAACAAGCCACCCATAACCTTCCCCTCGCTCCTGCATCCTTAAAGGAAAGCCTTTGACAAGGAGCCGACCAATCCACCTCCACTCCCCGGTTGCGATTACCAGAACCTCGTAGGACGTCACTATTAGGAAGCATATAAACTTATCAACGATAAGACACGTCGGTAAGTAGGAGCATTACGTTGGAATATATAGCTTTTCAACTTGAGATGTGTCAATAATTGCTCTGTTGGTATAAGTACCTTCGGTAATCAAATGCAACTTCGTAACTTGAAATAACGTCGGTAACTTTCTCCACATTTACCGACGTACAAAATGTCTGAACGACAAGTCACCGAAATGATACCAAGTGGATCAAAAAGTTTATTTTGGCCAATCTCATGTCGGTAAATTTTTAACGTGTAATTCAAAGGCATATAATTCAGTCGGGAAGTTATGCATTTTTTGGTGAATCTTTCTTCTTCTTCTTTTTTTGAAAAGGGCAATGGTTAGAGGTGTTAATGTGTTAAAGGTGTTAGTGTGT